GCTGTATGCTGCAGTGCAATATGCATGAATGGATGCTCGCTTCGCTTGCAATTACTTGTGCTTCGATGGAGACAGCGGACCTTGATTGCACAACACCGACAACATAACCTTTTCGTGCGATGGCTATGTTCCTTTTTTTTTCTTCTCCCCTCGGACACGACTTCGCAAGTCTATCTTGCTATTGTACGAATCTACTGCATTCGAATTATAGGCTACTTGTCTACATGCCATTCAGTCCCATGTAGTGGGCTGCCTCTTCATCAGCCTCTAAATCCATACTCTTCGGTTCCTCAGGCTCCGCTTCCATGGGATCTTGGTATGCAGCTTCTGCATCCTCAGCCAACTCCTCAATGTGCTGCGATGGTGGTGGAGAAGTCTTGGCCCGTAGTCGACGATCGGGATAGACGAAATTGCCACGGCGACGCCCCGAGGGTTGAGTGCCAATGGGAGGCACAGGGCAGACCACATCCATATTGGCTTCCGGAAAAGAAGTTTGTCCTGAAGCTTGTGGTTCACATAAGCAACATAATCCTGCAGGTTTTCATATCCTGCAATCTTCTGAAATCCTTCCTCCAAGACTTCCTGTTCCTGGAGAATCTCTGCATCAAAGTTTGACCCAGTCTCCATCGTACCTCCCTTGTACTTTCCATACAAAGGTTTGTCCCGCTCACCTAGCAAGTCAAGATGCACGTCCTCCAGGCAAATCCGATGCACAATGGCATCTCTATGTGCACTTGGCAAACGAAGGTAGAGAGCGTGGTTGCCGAACATGAAGACAATGGAGCGTTTCAGTACTGCCAAGACATCTTTCTCTCTGTCACCGCGGAAGAATTCATCAAGCAAGCTAAAGAAGTTGGCTTCAGAAATCACTGTGTCACCTGCATTGCAATCAAATCTTTCTTCTGCCAAGTCATTGGACGCATAGGCCCTCATTTGATTCCGTAACATCTTGGTATCGTTGTACCTGGACTCAACCGTTCCATCCTCATCACATGTAAGGAAACTCTTCAGGTCGGCTATGCACACCTTGCTTCGATCGGGGTCGTCTAGAAAGAGAGCCTCTTGAACCTGAGGGGCTTTGTGCCTGAAGTTGTCCAGGGATTTGGCTCGGCGCCAACCAGCCTTCAGGCCTTCACATCCAGATCGACGAACGTGGTAACGACCAAGCGCCATTGCCAGAGTGATCACAAAGGGCGTTTTCCCCACACCAGGACAACCCAGCAGCAAGAGGCCAAAGTTGATGAGCAGTGGATACAAGTATGGTAGCAAGATAGTGTGCAAGAATGGCTTCAGGCTATAGGTTGTGAGGGGAAACTCGGTCATACTCACAGCACCTCCAAGCCCCTTGCTTTTGTTTTGGCACATTTGCCGTACCTTCGCCTCCGGCCATCCTGCAATAGGTGTGCTTGAGTCAGGCTTGATGTTGAGCAGGATCCACAGTGTTTGCTCGTTGAGAGCGTCACATTCTGGGGCAAATGCATTGATATGGTAGATGCCTTCTTCCAGCTCAGACCTTGATGGTGACCAGGTAGGTTTTGAGGAATGCTCCGCCTGGGTCTTCTCTTCAAGGGCAAACCATCTAAGTTGATACCCTCCCAAATGATTGAGAAGCCACTGCACTCCCTTTTTGATGTTCCAGGGCCCCGATCTAAAGACTGGAATATAAGCTTTCCCACTGCACAAAGCTTCGGCAGCTTGAAAGGACATCGGACGTGGCAGATAGAGCACTTTGAGAACATCTACGTTTCCATTCGCCATGGTCACATGCACGAAGTCCATTTTGGTTGTACTCGGAGGAGTGCCTTTGAAACGGATGGGTTCAGGTAAATCATCCCATCGATATTGCATAGCGATCTGGCCAATGTCGACTGGTTCGCCACATGAGGGTATGTCATTGTGGAAATCAAAGAGAACTGTAATGGATTTCACACCCTTTTGCAAAGGTCTGCACGCATCAGTGGTGAATCCAATGCATGTGATGGGCTCTTCCACTTCGACAATCCCACATTTGGCTTCTTCCAAGGGTCGTAGATATAACGGTTTCTTTCCCAATGCTTGGATTGCCTTATCCATCAATGTTCCAGCCATTGCAATCAAAGGGGAGCACGGCGCGGTGCACAAGACAAGACTGGGGCGGACAGGTTTGGGCTCATGTGACACAGCAGAGAAGAAATACGAGAGTGACAAGAATCCACACATGAATTGAATGTTGAATGTCAACTGCCAGCATGTTCAAAACAATCAGACCTTCCCAAGTACTTTCGCTGCCACACGTGCATGCCAAGGACATATCTCTAAGTATGTATACATATAATGCTAAGGCTCAAGGCTCTAGTGCCAGACTGCTTTTCTTTTCAGTGTGCATCAAGCGGACACAATGAGAGATACATCTTTTTCAACCCGCATGCCCTTGTCTCAGCGACATCAATCGGATGCCATTTCATGATCAGAAGAGTCAGGAGACGAAGCTTCAGCAGCCAAAGATTCATCCATATCCATAGGGATATCCGCGGCGTTTTCCGGCTGTAGCCGGCGCCGCAAAGCGGCATTTTCCTGAGACAGCCCTGCGATGATCTCATTCTGCTCCTCAATCTGAGCGGTTGCCTTCGCAAGCTCGCAAGAGGTGTGATGCAATGCCGAGAAAATCCCCTCAAACTCCTCTTTCCATTTGATCACTTCCTTGCTTTTCTTCTCGAGTTCAGCATCTGCCTGATGTTGTGGACCTTCGGAAGATGATGAATCCGAATCGGAATCGGGTGTGGAAGACGAGGATGCTGGCTTCTTCTCTTCCAAAGTGGAACTGGAGGATGATGGCTTCACATCTTCCAAGGCCAATTGCACAGTTGCAGTGCTCCTTTTCGGATTGGCCAGTAAGTTTTCTAAGCGCTGCTGGGCATCTGCACTCCATTCACCATCACCTCCCGGACGCAGGCGCAGTTGCCTTTGAATCGTGCCCATCATAGTCGTCAGGTCTCTCTTTGCAACTGGATGGCGGCTGTCATGAACCTTGACTGTTCCTGCTCCGATTTTTTCCAGGAGCTGAGATGTTGACGGTCGAGTCATGGTCACTTTGATGTCAGGCTCTGGTGTCAATGTCATGATGGCCTTGCCTTGCGACATATTCACCGTGCCGGTCACGTTGAAGAACGCCATGGCAAATAAGAGGGGAAGCGATGAAAGCTGAGAACAAGAATGGCACTGGGGCAGTGACAATGGATTGCAAGAATGGAGCAGTGACAATGGATGGCAGGAATTGTATTTATGTCTTTTCCAGCCTAAAGGAATGCATCCAGAATGCATTCTTCCCAATATCTAAGATCCAAGATCTAAGAATTGCGGAGAAGTCTTGTGCAAATCTTGGGTTTGGAATTTGCCAGAATACTCTTACCAATCCCTATGAAGATTCTTTAGGAATCCAAGATTTTGATCATGCATTCTTCCCAAGATCTAAGATCCAAGATCTAAGAATTGCGGAGAAGTCTTGTGCAAATCTTGGGTTTGGAATTTGCCAGAATACTCTTACTAGTCCCTATGAAACTTCTTTAGAAATCCAAGATTTTGATCAAAAGTCTTGTGGGAAACTTGGATCTTGGATTTTGAATCTTGCAAAGAATGCATTCAGAATGCATTCTTTCGGCAGGATTCAAGATTCAAGATTCAAGATTTCTAGGGACTCTTTGGAGCAAATCTTGAATCCACCCCCTGGATTCAAGATTCAAGATTCAAGATTCCTGAGGACTCTTTCCAGCAAATCTTGAATCCAGGATTCAAGATTCAAGATTCAAGATTTCTGGGGACTCTTTGGGGCAAATCTTGAATCCAGGATTCAAGATTCAAGATTCAAGATTCCTGAGGACTCTTTCCAGCAAATCTTGAATCCAGGATTCAAGATTCAAGATTCAAGATTTCTGGGGACTCTTTGGGGCAAATCTTGAATCCAGGATTCAAGATTCAAGATTCAAGATTCCTGAGGACTCTTTCCAGCAAATCTTGAATCCAGGATTCAAGATTCAAGATTCAAGATTTGCCCCAAAGAGTCCCCAGAAATCTTGAATCTTGAATCTTGAATCCGGATTCAAGATTTGCCCCAAAGAGTCCCCAGAAAAATCTTGAATCTTGAATCCTGGATTCAAGATTTGCTGGAAAGAGTCCTCAGGAATCTTGAATCTTGAATCTTGAATCCGGATTCAAGATTTGCCCCAAAGAGTCCCCAGAAATCTTGAATCTTGAATCCTGGATTCAAGATTTGCCCCAAAGAGTCCCCAGAAATCTTGAATCTTGAATCTTGAATCTTGAATCCGGATTCAAGATTTGCCCCAAAGAGTCCCCAGAAATCTTGAATCTTGAATCTTGAATCCGGATTCAAGATTTGCCCCAAAGAGTCCCCAGAAATCTTGAATCTTGAATCCAGGGGGTGGATTCAAGATTTGCTCCAAAGAGTCCTCAGAAATCTTGAATCTTGAATCTTGAATCCTGCCGAAAGAATGCATTCTGAATGCATTCTTTGCAAGATTCAAGATCCAAGATCCAAGATTCCCACAAGGGTTGGATTCAAGGCTTGAATCCTCTATGTATATATATATATATGTATATATACACTATATAACATCCCCCAAATCCCGGAATCCAAAATTACATACCAAAAATAGCAAGTTTTACTGTAAATACCAGTACTTTTGTGAAATTGGTAGGTCTTGGGGGGGGGGTACCATATATATACATATATATATATATATACACGTATGTATACATACATTCATGCATACAAAGAAATGTACATATGCATATATACATAGGTACACCACGCTATGTATGTCCTGTTTAATACATATCTCCTGTGACTGTGGCATATATATACTTAAACTACAATAACTTACATACATAATAACTTGTAGATATATATATATATTTGATAGAGAGAGAGAGATATACAGTGTATATATATATATTGTAAGCCTATGACCCCCCTGAAACCATTCCCACTTCGGAAACCACGTCACTTTGGCCCAACATGTCCATCGTAGACGGCAAACAAAGCCACCGGCTTCTCCTGGGTGATCCGTGGCCCCTTTTTTATCACCCTGAAGTCGTCACTGACCCCATTTGGATGTAGCGAAAGCCAAAAGCTCACCATGAGCTGATGTTAACGGATAGCAACAAACTACGACTTTAGAACATAAAAATTACATCAAATGACCAAGTTTCCTATGTTTCCTATGATCATCTCCTAGGAATTTCCTGCAGTTGTCCAACGAAATCTGCGGATCTTCCAACGAAAACCGTCCCTCTTCCAGGTGACACCCCAGCCTCTTGGGGATGAAATCTATGCACCAGTTTCAATCTGTCAGATGTGGAAAAAATGTATGTATATATATATATACATTATCATTATATATATATATATATTTGTCTGTGTGTATGTATTTATATTATATATATATGTATGTATATATATATGTATGTATATATATATATATGTATATGTATGTATGTGTGTGGGATTCTCCGATAGAACTTCTTTGCAAATCTGACCATGGAGTAGCCCTAATTCGAACGGAGTCCGAAACCCCTGTTGGTTGATCAACAAAAAAGGGACCTTTCCCGTCCACAAACTGACTATATCCTCATATTGTTGGTTTCATTCCTATTAATATGTATATATATATCCCCACTGTATTCCCATTCTATTCCCGTTATATTCCCATTATGATCATGATTTTCCCCATTATGGTTATATCACCATAAACCCCAGTTACTTCTGCCTTGTCATAATAGCTGTTATATCCCCAGATATTCCCACCATGTTTGAGAAGTTCATTTTCAGATTTCACCGCTAGCTTAGTGACGCCAAGAATAGACGGTTGATAAACCCTCATAAACCTGGTTCTCGGATGTTCTGAACGGTGCTTGGCCCTAACATTAAAACCCATTATAGACTGGGTCACTAAGAACTGAAGGGGCTTGGAAACTCGCCCACTTGGCGATTCCGGGGGAAAAAACGGGTCCCAGGCCCAGGGGTCCCAGCGCGGTAAACCAACGAGCTGCTAGACTCAGTGGCATCTTGAAGGCTTTGGCCGCCGCCACGAGGTCTTTCACTACCACCTGTGATGCGATGAACAACACCTACACACGCAGAAGGGAGTTGACAGTGAAAAAAAAACAGAAATGATGAAATCCATTAAAAAAAAAATGTGGATTCAACCGCCAAACAATTGGAATTTCATACCAGAAATGATGGAGGGCATTAATCTTATGAGAGGCAAAGCTAGAAATGGGTACCCACCAAGGGTTTTTGTGACGGTGAGTGTCCTAGAAGATTTGAAAATGTCTAGCTGTCTACCTTGCGACTTCAAACCATATATATATATATACTGTACATACAATTATAAATATCAGGATGAAACCCCATGTCATTTGTTGATGTTTTCATACATAGTGATTCATTAAATTTCATTAACTGCTGACTGGTCGCTTGGTTTCGCAGTGAACCATTGTCCCCGGATGCAACAGTCCACATGATGATGGATCCATGCCAAAAAAGAAACAGAAGAGACATGCTGGTTGGTGGTTTCAACTCCTCTGAAAAATATGAGTTCGTCAGTTGGGATGATGATTTTTTTAACTGAATGGAAAAAAAAAATGTTCCAAACCACCAACCAGCATGAGTATTGAACATCTTCAGAATCTTCGGGCGCATGAATAATTCTCTACTTAAATCCCTTTGGTATGGTCCATCGTGTTTGATCTTTGCTCCCAGCACAAGATACCACAAGTCAATGTCTCAGCCGATTATACACAGATTTGACACGTTAAGCAGCTCCCCTGGAAATGTGTGGTGCAATCTGTATGTTAAAAGAACCTTTGGAAACATGCATTTTTTCAAAGCCAGCACAAAGAGCCTCTTGGAAACATGCACTTTCTTAACAAACAAAGTTGCCTTTCCAGAGTTTTTTTGGGTGGTATGCCTGTGCTTGGCTGCCTTTCATAACATTAATCTGCAATCAGCAACTACGAATTTACTCCTGGTGTGAACCTATTGGCTGATTCCAAAATCCTCAGGAAGGGAAATGGATGAAATGGTGTCTCCAAATGGCAAACATGCAACTGTCACTTTCACAGAAACAAATCAGGAAATCCCTGCCTGCGGTGCACATTCGCAGTGTGTGCTCCCATCTTTTCGGGGGACCCCTCAAAACAGGTGTTTTTTTCGCAGCTTTTCGTAAGTGGTTCATACTCCGTTATGTGTATAATTATATAATATTATATATATATATAGGATTATATATATATATATAGGATTATATATATATATACATATAGGATTATATATATATACATATAGGATTATATATATATATATGTATATATATTATTATGTATATATATATATGTGTATGTACATATATGCACATGTACAATTTATAATCATCCTGCGAACTTTTCATTCCACCTTCCCATTTTGCTTTGTAGATTTCCTTCGGAATCCCCTGGTGAGTATCAATAATCTGGTGGGATTTTCCATCTTCCATTCCCATTTTGCTTCGGATTTACAGTACTTCGAAAAAGCACGAAAAATCCATATTCATCCATATTCATGCATATTCTGGTTCAGTAAATAGATATTCCCATGCTAGTTCCCATGATATTCCCGTTTTCGTCATTTTCTCCAGGAAGAGATCTGGAGCCAGGTGACGTGACGATTCAGATGGACCTCCTCCCGACCTGGATACAGCAGGGGGATACAGCAAGGAGATTTCATGGGAGATTCATCTAAAATCTAAACTGGAAAAACCTGGGATTTATGAGGAAAGTCATGAGCATAAAAAACCATGAAAAATAAGGGATGAATTCTAAAGCCTGATGCAAAAATCGGGATTTGCAAGTGAATTTGCTTGGGATTTGGATAGTTTGATGGGGATTTTTTGGATATTTTCGTGGGGAGATATTAGCCCAACTATCATGGTATATTTTTTGGATAGGTGATGGGGATATAACCCAATCTGACAATGATACAAATCTGAGTTTTTTCTAGGGTTTATGAATGTTTATGATGGGATATTTCATGCAAAAATCATGACTCTCTATGTGGATAAGTCATTTTATGTTAAATTACCAGTTGTAATTGCCAACTGCTACGTTTGGTATAGTTTCTATGTATTGCTATATTTGTCCATGTTCGAAGGGTATTGCCTATCATTAGAATCATATGCGTGTGTGGGGAAATAGGGTATACCCCCAAAGTTATGGTGATTTTAATAGAGAAAGTATGAGAAAATGATGATAAACCATGAAATAGGGGGTGCCCACTTTTCAGACGAACCCGTCTTATCCCTACTTCTCATTGGCATTAAATTGGTATCCCAAGATTGCCAATACACCTTCTTTGTTTAGTTGGATAGATCAATTGGCGAATATACTGTTCAGCAATTTTGCATATATACAGTACATAGTATGTACAGCATATATATTATTTGTTGGTAATTAGAAACTACTACATCAACCTCAATTTTGGGATATAGCAATGTGTCTGGCTATGTCCTTTCGGATTGCTGTAGATGGTCCCAAATTCACGTTTACCAAGCCTGGAAGGAAAGTTGCTCGACGTACAAACCTCCTATGGTTGCCTTGAATCGATCATTTGAGGTTACAATGAAGTATCCAGAATGAGCTAATGAGCAAAACGGCGAGGCAGGCGGTTTTTCGGAGTCTCTTACAGTTGCTATTTCTGCTTCAATCTCAGTTTTACATCAGTCAAAGCCCTAAGGATAGAACATTTTTTTGGAAACAAAATGTTTACTATCCATGATTTGCCCATAAACTGATGTGTTGTCCCGTACACCGTCTGAACAAGAGAGGAACTCTAGCAGAACACGACAAACACAACGACCTCACCTTGCATGAAGCTTGCGTCACACGCGAATTCCAGGACCTGTGGCAGGTCCCTAACAGGATCTCCGAGGGCCGTTAAAAGCCTACAAGGTTAGGCAGGCTCCCTACAATACAGGAAGATTGTGATTTCACCAAAAATGATGATTTAATTTACAGTAGATGGATTCGTATGGATTGTTGATTGATGCTAGCTAAGTTGACGCAGTTGACTCAAGTAACTTTGTTAACTGTTGGATTGATTAGGGGGATAGAACTAGGTCATGGGTTTATAAACCAACAAACATCAACAAACACTTTTCTTGCCTTCACCTTGTATTTCTTTACTTTACACGCACCCCCTACGCTTCCAACACTGGGGGTACAACCTTGGCAGTGCCATGGGATTCCTTGCCATGGGCACTAACTCTCGGGATTCGCCCACCAACAGCTACTGTTATGGCTTCCAGAACTGCAACATTGCATGAAAAAAAGGCCAACATCATATGGAACTGTCATGAACTGTCCACATTCCACCAGACTTTTCTCCAACCTTTGACCCCCAAGCATGGCCTGTTTCTCCCCAACAAAGTCTCCGGCTTGGCTCGCAACCGCCGGTTTCACCGCGGACTGCTTCGCCGCTCGAGATTCGCCTCAGAGGTGGCAACCTGGGTGTACCCTCTGGTAATTTAACGTAGCTATGGAAAATCACCATTTTTAATGGGAAAATCCACTATAAATGGCCATGTTCAATAGCTATGTTAGTTTACCAGAGGGTAAACATGTCGAATCTGAGGAAAGCAAGACAGCCAATGTATGCCGATGTAGTTGCCATCCCAAATTGACCACCAAACTATGGGGACTCCATGAAATTCCAACCATCAAAATATAGGTGGTAAACGTTTTCCATTGCTGTTTTTTTCAATTCTATAACCGACAAATATGGAGGATTGAAATGACTACTGTCAGACAATTTTAATGGGATCAGAATTAGTGAACTGTAAGATCACCCACAAACGAAACCTTGCTGCACTTGGATCCAAGGGAGGTCTGGATCATGGGTCCATCGGTCAAAAACATTATTTTCAGGACTGGGATTCATGAGTTCATCCTCCATGAACTTTGAGCAAATTCCAGTCATCCCATGACTAGTGCTTAATTAGTAGGGAATGGATGGGACTGGGGGTTGCTGGGATTATTATTGATAGTGATGATCCATGGATCATTCCCGAAAATTCCCTGCGTAAAACGCATCCATAAGCTGGGCTCGGCCCCGGCGGCCCCGGCGGCCCCGGCGGCCCAGCCAACGGCGGCCCAGGCACGATTCTTCCGCGCTTCTTCAGCGGCTTCACCGGCCAGTTGTACTTCTTGCGCCAACAAGCTGGCTGCATGCTTCCCTGCAGAAATGGTGTCTTGAAACGGAACTGTGTACATATATATATATATATATACAGTGTATATATATATATACAGTGTATATATATATACACACACACAGTGTGTGTATATATATATATATGCATGTGACATGACATGTCATGTCATGTCACGTCATGTCATATGCAATGTAATGCAAGGTAACCCAACATAAAGTAACAGTAATGTACCGTAATTGAATTATATATCTATTGGCTGGTACGCCATAGTGGTAAGTTGGTCTATAACCCCATCTAACATCTAACCAAAGATATCATCACAATAAAAACTGATAACCCAGTTATAAACCAATTTAGCCATGGTGCGCCGCTTGGTATAGTATATGTATGTGTGTGATATCAACCCACAGGTTTTTTTCTTAAATATTCGAAGCAGGAAAAAAATGGTGAAAATCTGCTGAAAAGGCTGCGAAATCTTGATGATGGGATCACAATGGGATGTCGCGACCATCCACAGATGGGACCACATGTACCCTCTGGTAATGACTAACGTAGCTATTGAAAATTGCCATAGAAATAGTGGATTTTCCCATTAAAAACGGTGATTTACTAGAGGGTATGACCTGATTTTCGTTCAGATACAGGGGCAGCCCGATCCTAAGATCCAAGTTGGACCAACCATCAGCTGTTGATTTTTTTCGCCCTGATCAGACACCATCCACCCTGTAAAAGGACCTACGATTTGTTGGAGGGCTTACCCTCTGGTAAACATACAAAAAACTATGGAAAATCAGCATTTTTAATGGGTAAATCAACTATTTCTATGGCCATGTTCAATAGCTATGTAACAAATTACCAGAGGGTATTTGTTCCGGAATCTGACAACTGATGAACACATCAGACGAGGGAAGTTCACAGCCAAGCTCGCTGATGAATCACTTGGCCTTTTCGACTTGGGGAGCATCAACCAAACTTGGTCAACAGGACCAAGCTATGAGGGGGTTGTCTGAAAATATGGTATTAAAAAAAAAAATGGATTTATGGTGATGTTTCGCATTGGAATTGCCATAGCCAGAGTTATACCCCATTTTCGGACAAATTATTCCATGGGGATTTATCTAATTTTTGTCCACTCTGATCGGCAAACCTTCACACGCGTCATGAATTCTTTCCTAGGTTTTAGTTCCATCTGGAAAATGAGGGATATATCATGATATTATCCTTCAAAAGTGCTATCAAATGATAGGAGAACTTATGATAGATAAATGGTGGATGTTCCAAACTCCCAATCTCCCAAATCTGCTGACCCATCTTAATCATCTTGCCATTCTTGGGCCACACCTGCACCTTTGCCGCCAGAACTGCGGAGTTTTTCAGGCTCCTGTCAGTCTAATTAAAGCACAATGGGTGCATCAGATGATCTTTCTTTGCTGTGCCTAGATCTAGATTTCTATATTATATACTGTATATTATATATATATATATGTAATCTATATCTATATATATATATTGATATCTCTATCTATATACACAACGGTCATGTTTGTTGTGAGAGCTTCGATGACAAACTCGTATGTCGGGGTACACAGGGTACGGCAATTGCCAAAGCCATTGGGACATTGCAAGTAGTTCAAGGGTCCTTCAATATCCTTAATATTTCTTCAATCTTGGCCGTGATGTCCAAGTACATACATGGATGTAGAGAGTAACTATTGGCTGCTACTATGCATCCTTAATGTGGGTCTAAATCTAACGTCTGTCAATCTTTTTGAATATATAGTAGCCCAAAAAAAGATAGCAAGGGTTAACATGTTGCCACGTCTACTTTGAAATTGACGGGGACCAATTTCAGCTCAGGGGGATACGGGATACCCCCAATGCCCAATATGGATCTTTTTTTGGATCAATATGGATCAATATGGCAGTAAAGAATGCGAAAGATGATGATTAAACTGGATTTCAGGGGTGCCCAATTGTTGGCCAAACTTCGCTGGATGAGAGGAATCCAAAAATGGCCCCTTTGGCATGCCATGCCGTAAAGCCGTCGCCGTACCTTTCCCCCCCAAGGTAGGCACCTCCCACAAGTAGGAGGTTTCAGCCATGGCCACAGTTCACAGCAGGGGAAGCCCGACAGACGGGGTCGCCAGGATAGGTCCGTTCGTCTTTGATCTTCAGCTGGAGGAGCATCGTCGCGCGATGTCGCGTATTGTAGGGGATCGTGAAAGAAACAACACCTACTGTACATCAAAACAGTTGGGGTATCGCCTTTCTACCTGTTGACCCCGGAAATCATGAAATCCCGACTCTAGTTTTCCAGTAAGATCAAAAAAAAACAAAGTAGCGGACTACTAAGACTACTACTTGATGTCCATGCAGCCAATGGCTGCGTGGGTCAGTAAGATTGTAAGTTGCTGAGCAAAACGGCTTCTGTAGAGCTCCAGATCGGGTGTAGAAACTCCTCGGGCAACACCTCCGCATTTCAAGGTTTTCGAAACATAAAAGTTGGACAAGCCTTGAGCTTTTTGTGAGGTGAGATGGATGGGTACAGGAAATGATAATCGTGCCATCCCAATGAAAAGAGAGATTCTGAATTCCAAAATTTCCAAACTCCCGTTGAGCAAAGCGTGACGTTTCTATTTCCTGACGGATGTTCTGGCCCTATCCCCCAAAAAAATTGTGATATGGATCTTCCAGTGTCAAACCGAGTCTCCAAGCCGCAGTGGATCATGGTGGTTTAACTATGGTTCATCCCAAAATGGGAATCCAAAATGACATAAATCCCCATGATGACCGTCGTCCAATATGGCTATACGTTATCTAACTTTTCACCATGCGACATGTAAACCTCAGGACCAGAAAATGGTCAACAGTTCCAAGAATAAATCACTGGAACCCAAAATCCTAGGCCCTGTGGGCTTTTAATTCAGAGTGACTTCACTGCCCATAGCCTGGAGTTTTGCCAAGCAAATGGTGTGATGTTCTTTATGTTTTTTATCTAGTCCATGAGTGTAGTTGGCGCAAACTTTACAGGAAGACCCCTCTTCAGATTCACAAAAAAAACATAGTGTTCGTTCCTCAAAAAATGGATGTGTCTGTTTCGTTTCTACGGAAAAAAACAACAAGTAAAATCCGGTGTTTTTAAAGCTACAAGGTGAGGACCCCCAGTTATGTCTGTTGATTTATCAACCCATTCAAAGCCATTCAAAGCCATTAAAAACCATTAAAACCATTAAAGCCGCTAAACACAATTAAAAAACATTAAAAAACAATTAAAGACCATTCAAAAACAAAGATTACAGCCATCATTAAAAACGGTTTTTTCAAAATATTAAAGCCATCACTCGGCCGTTCCTCATACCATGGCCGTTCCTCGGCTCCCACCAGGGCCTCACCGTCCAGGCCACAACTCTCACACTCTCCACGGTGATCGCCTAACCAGGCGGGGTTAGCATCCGACATCGGATGGGTTACCGGTTACCGGTTGGGTAAACTCAGAGTTTCATGTGGAAAAATCTAGGAAAATGGGGATTTTTGTGGATGATTTTCCAGCCCCATGGCTTTTCCACATCCACGTGGAACGCTTACCCTAGGGAATTTCAGGGTATTTGGTGGTGATGAGTGGTGGTTAATGGTGATTCATGGGGATTAATGTAGGAAACCCTGGCTGTCATAAAGAACTACCATGACTGGGGATGGTTTATACAATCCATGTATAATCTCATTGGGTTTACCACATTATAACAACTATGGCTATTGCCATAGCTGCCATAACCTTCTGATTACTAATGTATTGATTGATAGATAGATAGATAGAGAGATAGAGAGATAGAGAGATAGAGAGAGAGAGATAGAGAGATAGATAGAGAGATAGAGAGATAGAGAGATAGAGAGATAGAGAGATAGAGATAGATAGATAGAGATAGATAGATAGATAGATAGAGAGAGATAGAGATAGATGGATAGAGATAGATAGAGAGAGATAGAGATAGAGATAAGAGAGAGAGAGAGAGATAGAGAGAGATAGAGATAGAGATAGATAGAGATAGATAGCGATAGAGATGAATAGAGATAGATAGAGATAGATAGAGATAGATAGAGATAGATAGAGATAGATAGAGATAGATAGAGAGAGATAGAGATAGATAGAGATAGATAGAGATAGATAGAGATAGATAGAGATAGATAGAGATAGATAGAGATAGATATAGATAGAGATAGATAGAGATAGATAGAAATAGATAGAAATAGATAGACATAGAAAGAAATAGATAGAAATAGATAGAAATAGATAGAAATAGATAGGTAGATAGGATAAGACTAGGATAGATTAGATTGGGTTAGATTCCTTTAGATTTGATTAGATTAGATTAGATTAGAGTAGAGTAGATTAGATTAGATTAGGTAGATAGGTACATAGGTAGATAGATAGATAGATAAATAGATAGATAGATAGATAGATAAATAGATAGATAGATAGGTCGATAGATAGATAGATTGATAGATTGATTGATAGATTGATTGATAGATTGATTGATAGATAGATTGATAGATTGATAGATTGATAGATTGATAGATAGATAATATCTAATTTTATCATCGGATTGCTACTTGCTGGAATATGTTTTATTTGACATGATGAACATGATTTGAATATCAGTTATGGGCTGTAGCCAAGTTTGTTTTTCACCAACTAAGTCACTTACCATATTTGACCACCCAACCCATTATGGGGCTATGTTATGTGGATGTTATTAATTGTGCAACTGGGATTCATAGGAATATATATATATATATATTACATAACCGATATAACTAATGATGATATATATATATTTATTTATTTGGGATATAAACATGTTTCCATTCTCGCAAGTCACTCAGCATGGTTTATGGGTTTGCTGGTTTGGAGGTTGCCAGAATCTGGAAAATATTGGGATGAAGTTGGATGTGTATCCAACTTGCTAAGTGGCAAGTCAAACCATATCGGATCGCAACCCAAATATTATATAATATATATATATGCATATATATATATGGATACACAAATGGGATATACCCCAGCAAAAAGAACTGGTGATGATCACCACTGACTAACTGCGATGGCACTTCCAAAACGGGGTAGTTGCAACCGAGCAAACGGCTGCTGAGGCCATAGCTTGACCCAAGCCAAGCCCCACCGGGACACCAAAAGCGGTCATTTTACGAGCACGGTCTTCGGTCCAGTGGCATAGACACGCACACACAGATATGTATATATCATATATATATATATATCATCTATATATATATATATGTATCATATATATATGTATCATATATATATATATACAATTACATAGATATGTATGTATATATATATGTGTTATCAAGATGATATACCCAATATATCCCAATACAAAATAACATGATAAACACATGTCGCCATACCTCCCCACAAAACGTCTGTACGCTCAGCGGAAAAAAAAGGCGCCTGTTGCCCCAAAGGCCTCGAAGAGATTCAGCCATGAAACGTCCACCTGGTGTACCTGCCCGGGGGTCCATTTGAAGGGTGTCATTATACTGGTTGGTTTATAGGGCTAGTATAATCACCAAATAAACCCAAAAAAATGGGCTAGTATTGGAGTATCCCTATAAACCAGTGATTATACTAGCCCATATATTGGTTTACCCTCTGGTAAACATATGAAAAACTATGGAAAATCACCATGTTTAATGGGTAAATCAACTCTTTCTATGGCAATTTACAATAGCTATGTTAGTTTACCAGAGGGTATAGGGGTTCCCCAATATACTCTTGGTACCCCATAAACCCAAAAAAAATGGCTAGTAAAATCACCTATATATTTATAGGGATTACACTACCAATTAATATTATATGGGGATTATACTATTGGGCTTTGGTAATCCCCAATATATGAAGGGTAGTACAATCTCCGAACTAATCATCAACCAACAGGGGTTTTGAACACTGCGCATGGCTGGGGGGTACATCCCATCACCGAAAAATCTGCAGTGGACAAAATGACAAAATGACACAAAGATGTCGCTACCCCCATCTTTAAAAAAAATGGATTTGTTCATCTGGGGCTCACATTAATGATTTAACCAACTAAAATCGTGATTTAACCAAAAAGAATTCCGATGTGACTAGTTCTAATCAGATAACCATCAAATTTCTCCCGCCAAATGTGAGGGGGGTCTGTTGTGTTTTTTCGTGAAACAAATACAATAAACCATCTCTGGTCGGATGTTTTTCATGGATGAATCCCGGGCTTGCCATCGGGGCTTGTTTTAAAATGGGCTAAAAATACCCTAGTACTGTACCCGTTCAAACTGTTATATGTTGGACAAAAAACATGTTTACTGTATGTGTATATATATATACAGTATATGTATATATGTCTGGATAAGTTGTAATATTTCACTAACCTGAAATCTGGTCATTTGGGGATGATTCCCCTCACTAATCATCGTTCCAGGCTTCGGTCGCAACGTGAGGTCGTTAAACTTTTATCCAGATATGTATGTATGTATAATATATATATATATTTATTTATTTACTTAGTTATTTATTTATATACATATATATATATATATCATCAATCATCTATATGCATATGTATTTACACCCCATATTCTTGGTGATTCCTTTTCCCATGACCCAAGTTTCCTACAAAGCCAGGGCCCACCAGGACGGCTTCAAGCGTTCGGCGTAGCGCGCGTAACAAGGGTAACGTGGCCTCTCAGACGCTGCGAATCTATGGGTCAATAGCTACAGGATGGGGCCCCAGTTCGTGAACGCTAAGTTGGTGCAAATAGTTACCGGTCATTTAACGTAGCGAACTTGAAAATCACAATTTTTAATAGGTAAAACATCTGTAAATGGGCCATTTTCCATGGCTATGTTAAATAACCAGAGGGTACATAATAACAAGTTGGTGAATGATACGCAAATAGCTATATTTGGATGGGGTTATAAACCAACAAACATAACTGGGTCCCATCCTGTATAGACTAATAAATACAATTTTGGTAGAATGAACATCCATATACCTAGCTATTTTGGGGTTCATTAGGCTTCGGAATGGGTTTGGAAGATATTTTTCATGGTGTTTGAAAGATCTATAGTTTTCGTTG